AGCTGGCATGTGATATCTTCTTATTTCTCTATTATTTATTTCCCAGTGAATAGGATCCCTCACAGATGTAGGGATTCTGTTTTGTTCACATCCTCCCCAGTTCCTAAAACAGTATCTGGCATAAAACAGATAGTCAATAAACATTTGTGAAAGGAGTGAGATTTTCAGAAGAGGAAAATGAAATATGAGGGAGCTCAGTTTAGCCCCAAGTCACAAGACTAGTAAGATCAAGAGTCAGGATCAGAACTCAAGTCTGTGTGACTCCTTAGCCCCATCCACCCTCGAGCGCATTCCACTCTCAAGCAGCCTCGGGAGGTAGGAGTGGGCTCTGAAACCCAACCACAAGAGCTGGCAGGCTGTGATGCGGCGTGGGGGAAACACACACCACAGTTCAGCTATAAATCCTGCTGGAAGGACTGAGCTGCAACAGAAAGGACACTTTTGGCAGGATTGCTGACAGTTTCTAAGATTAAGGAAAATAATACAAAGGCATCTGCCCAAGGTTTCCAGTGTTAAGATTGGTTTTAACTATTTTTCTTTCAGCTGTAGCCTTCTGAGATAATGAATGTACCATATGTCTGTATCTCTAGGTTCCCATACAAATTAGGAACTAAAAATGGCACATGATTAAAACAGAGTTCTGCTTGTTTCCATGGGAAATCAACTGCAGTGAGCCCTTAGGAAATGAGCGGGAGAGGGTGTTCATCTGGAGCTGTTCTCCGGCCAGTGGCTGCACTCTGCCTACAACCCAGGACCCAGTCCACAAGCCGTTTGGCATGTTGGCCCAGGTGAGACGCTGTCATGGCTGCCTGTCCTGCCGGCTCCAAGTGGGACTGTGGAGGTCAGTGTGCTTGTCCTGTTCCTTTGAGCTCCACCACCAAGGGACTGGGCCCTACCCTTCAGGCTCTCCATGTCAGGTCCCTGGCCAGCCATACTGGGACAGCTCCCTTACTAGTGACAAATAGACAGTTAGCAAAGCAGACCCCCAGCCTCGTCCTGCCAGTGTGGTTCCCACACACGCCGAGCCCTTGAACAGGTCTTCTGGAAGACAGGAGGGGGAGGTGCATCATGAAGGATTCTTGCTGAAGAGTCACTGATGGTTACGGACAACTACATGGAGTTAACTCAGGAGGCCAGGGGTTAGTGTTCTGTAAGACGCAAGGAAGTGTGCCCTGGGCCACTGTGCCAAGGCTTCCTCCTAGAAGCTGTGATGAGGACATGTTCCTGCCTGCCCTAGAAGTAGCACCAATTTGCCTAAAGGAGATCTTGCTGAGGTAGGAGGCTGCTAAAAGATTCCAGTGTTGTTTTGCCAAGTGGGAATCTCTGCTTCCCTGGGAATATGGGTTCAGGAGCTGAGTAGCCTAACCAGAGAGTTGCTGACTTCCCAGCCCCTAGCAAGATGAGGGAGAAAAGATGAACTTTGCTAGCTTTCTTAGACCCAACGGTGTCTCAGGCATGCAGTAGGGAGGCCTCACACTGGACACTAGGCAGTAAGGGAGAGTGCTTCAGACAACCCTGAGAGGCCGAGGAATGCGGAGCCATGGTTTGAATGTCTACAAAGTGGGATAGTATCTGCCGCCCAGGGAGCCTGCGAGGATTAAAGAAGCTGACAGAAGCAAAAGCACTCACTCCAAGCCTGCTGGCCAGTGGGTACCCGATGCCTCGTGAGCTCTTTTCTTTCCCTCTGTTGCTATGTTTTACTGCCCAAACTGGAAACAGACAGCTTAGTGAGCAATAAATAGACAGTGCCTGCCCTCCCTACACCACCACTCCCAGTACCAACAACTGGATTTCTCTCAGAACTGATATCTAGGATGTAGACAGAGCAGAGCAACTGAACTCTTTTTTTAAAGATTTATTTTATTGATTTGAAAGGCAGAGTTGAGAGAGAGAGAGAGAGAGAGAGATCTTCCACCCTCTGGTTCACTCCCCAAATAGCTGCAACAGCAGGGCCTGGGCCAGGCTGCAGCTAGGAGCCAGGAGCTTCTTCTGGATCTCCCCCGTGGGTGCAGGGTCTCAAGCACTTGAGCCATCCTCCTCTGATTTCCCAGGTGCATTAGCAGGGTGCTGGATGGGAAGTAGAGCATCCAGGATTCGAACCAGCTCCCATATGGGTTGCAGTGGCTTAACCTACTGCACCAGCACTGCAGTTGAAATCTATCCTTAACATGCCCATTCACTTGTAACTCATCAGCTTGGTTCTCTTGCCTAGGTAGAATGTTTCCAGAGAAACTCAGTGGGAAAGGACATTCCTGTAATCTTCTGCCAGAATAAGCCATTAGAACCCTATGGAATTCTGAGGGTAGATCATAATGCATTCTGAGCACCTTGCTCCAGACTAGTCAAAATATTTCGATTCCTCTTCCCTTCAGATGACTCAGAAGTCATTGCTAGAATCACAGGTTATGTGTAAGCAAGTTAGAGGAAGTAGTAGTGCTTTCGGCTCCTGGGGAGGCCTTTAGAAAGTCAGATTGTCTGCCCTCTACAATCATGCTGTCCAAAATCATGCTCCAATGACTTGTTCTGCTTCTGCTGCTTCCAAGAGTGGCTACTTAAGAATTCCTCTGCTGTTTCCACCTCAACTCAGTTTTCACACTAACCACCTGGAGTTGCCACAAGTGCCAAGGTTAGAGGCCAAGTCCTCCATGAGACTGACCTCACTTCACTGCCAGCCACATGTCTTAGGAGGTCCTCAGGCCACCCACACTTCTGACCAACTGGCTACAAATTCATAGGTTTCTCATGATCCCCTCAGATTCAACAATTCATTAAAACAATTCACAGAATTCAAGGAAGTGCTGTGCTTGCGTGGGCACTGTGGTGTAACAGATTAAACTGCTGCTTGGGACACCTGCATTCCACATCAGAGTGCCCAGCATTGAGCCCCACCTCCATTTCCCATCCAGCTTCCTGCTAATGCTCCTGAGAGGCCATGGATGACTGCCCAAGCACTTGGGTTCCTGTCACATGGTGGACCTGGATGAAGTTCCAGACTCCTGGTTTGACCAAGATTAGCCCTGGCTATTGCAAGCATTTGAGGAGTGAACCAACAGATGGAAGATCTCTCTTTTTCTCTCTGTCCTTCCCTCTTGATCTCTCTCTCTCTCTCTCTCTCTCTCTGTGTGTGTGTGTGTGTGTGTGAGAGAGAGAGAGAGAGAGAGAGAGAGAGAGACTCTTCTTTGCAAATAAGTAGATAAATCTAAAATCAAATATAAACAATCAAGCTGGCATTGTGGCATAACAGGTTAAGCAGCCACCTGCAATATCAGGATCCCATATGGGTGTCAGTTCAAGCCTTGGCTGCTCTACTTCCAATCCAGCTCCCTGCCAATGTGTCTGGTGTTGACAGCAGCAAAGGATAGCCCCAGTGCTTTGGCCCCTGCACCCATGTGGGCAACTTGGATGAAGTTCCTAGCTCCTGACTGTGGCCTAGGCCAGTCCTGACCACTGAGGCCATTTGGAGAATGAACCAGCAGATGGAAGATCCCTCTCTCTCTCTCTCTCTTTTTCAAATACATAAATATTTTAATAAATAATATAATTTACTATTGAATATTAGTAAAACTAACATTTCTCACATGCTTATACTGCATTAGGCTCTCAGACATTACATATATTAAATCATCTAATTCTCACAATCACATTATAAAGTAGGCTATAACTTCCCCCTTTTTATTATAATTTTCCCCAATTTATCTATAGGGAAACTGAGGCCTGGGCCTAGAAAAGTTAAACACCTTGTCCAAGTTCTCACAGCTGTGGACAATAAAAGAGATGATTATTTTAAGAATGTCTTGGGGCCAGCACCGTGGCTCACTTGGTTAATCCTCCGCCTATGGTGCCAGCATCCCATATGGGTGCCGGGTTCAAGTCCCAGATGCTCCTCTTCCAGTCCAGCTCTCTGCTGTGGCCCGGGAAGGCAGTGGAGGATGGCCCAAGTGCTTGGGCCCCTGTACCCACATGGGAGACCAGGAGGAGGCACCCGGCTCCTGGCTTCAGATTGGCATAGCTCTGGCCGTAGCGGCCATTTTGGGGGTGAACCAATGGAAGGAAGACAATGGAAGGAAGACCTTTCTCTCTGTCTCTCTCTCTCTCACTGTCTAACTCTATCTGTGGGAAAAAAAAAAAAAAGAATGTGTTAGTCTATCTAGCTTCTGTGACAAATTATACTGGTACTTCATAACACAAATCCATCAGTCCCCCCCACCCCTTTCTGGAGGCTGTGAAGTCCAGGATGAAGGCTTCAGTAGACTTGGCATCTGCAGCCAGCACTGTGGCATAGCAGGTAAAGCCACCTAAAGCAGCAACAGTGTCCCATCTGGGCACTGGTTCGAGTCCCAGTTACTCAACTTCCCATCCAGCTCCCTGCTAATCTGCCTGGGAAAGCAGCTGAGGATGGTACAAGTGCTTGGGCTCCGCACTCACATGGGAGACTTGGAAGAAGCTCCTGGCTCCTGGCTTCAGCCTGGTCCAGCCCTGGACATTCTGGCCGTCTGGGGAGTGAACCAGCGATTATAAGATTCTCTCTCTCCTTTTTTTTTTTTTTTTAATAATTCTGACTTTAAAAAACAAACAAATAAGATTTGCTGTCTGATGAGGCTTTTTCTCTTCTTCATAGGTAGTACCTCTGGATGAATCCTCACATGACAAAAGGGAGGGACAAACTCCCTTTGGTTTCTTTTTAAGAGCACTAACCTCATTCAGAGGAGCCCTCCTGTCCTATGACTACCCATTTGTCTCGTTCTTAATGGCAGCACACTGGGGACTGGGTTTCAACATAATGTTGTGGGGGGACACAGATGTTGAGACCACAATAAAGAGTTTATAGAATGAAAGGGTTATAAAGACCTTGTGGAGTTCGCAGTTGAAGAGAACACATAAACACCAATAAAATTTGGATAGGAGGACAGCAGAAAGATGAGCAAAGGGAAGTAAGAAGATGGAGGGTGGTCTTACAATGTGTACAAAATCAAGGAGGTGGTCAAATACAACAAACTCACCAGAGCCACGTACACATTTGTTTAGAGGGTTCCCTCGGAGCCAACAACTGCAAAGTTCACGACGGTGATTTTGTCCAAAAATGTTGGTTCTGTTACAAAACGTGCAATTGCAGGTTAAAGTCCAGATACTTCCAACTTCCCTGTTAGTGACCTTCAGTACTTCTTTTCACCTACTTGAGGTCTCACAGAGGTCAGAAGACAGGTTCACATTTGCTTCTCTTAAACATCTAGATTCACTCTAGAAAATAAAGGCACAAAGTTCCACATTCAATTTTGTCCTTCAAAGTCTTACTAGGAAGAGCGATAAACACCCACACATCTCCACAAACGTGTTCAGCAAAGACCATTACGACTCCCTCATTCTCTGGCAGAAATGGTGGCAAGAGGCACTAGAAGTACATCTCACTTTTACATCTGAGATCTGTATCATACCACTTTTCATCATCCAAGACACTGAGCAGATCTAACATTGCAGAGAAATTTGCATAAAAGCTTCTTATCACTGATTTTCACAAATCTTTTTGGTATTCCAGAAGCTAGGTAGCAATCTATATATGCTGCAGATTAAATGACTTCCTCATCATCCTAAGAAACAGTCATCCAAGATTTTTAAACTCCTTTCCCCTTAAAGCACCAGAAGCCCACCACCTTTCTCCACCTCCACCCTCCTGGGGAGGCTGGAAAGGTTGAGCTGCCAATCTGAGTGAGGAAAAAGCATTGTGATGTGATGCCAGGCAGCCTCACAATGTGCCCCTCTGGGGCCCGGGGATATTTGGGCAATTGGAGGGCTAGCAGTCACACCGCTCCTGCTGATGAAAAATGGAAGCTTGCCCAGGTAAAGAGATAACAACTTTAACAATATTATTGTTTTTCCCTCCCTTTTTGGATACAGACTTAAAGATAAACACTCAATATCTAATATCTAGTATATATTTGTTCTAGGTTATTAAAAGATTTTTCAAAAGCATCTTATGTTAAGAGTTTGAGGCACATCAAAACCTTATTGGAACCTTTATTTCAAAGTGGCTTAACTAGATTGTCTCCCTACTGCCTTAGGGTACACAGTATCTCCTGTCCCAGGCTACATGGCCTGCTGATGGACACCAGTTCAATCTCTATGGTCCTGAAATACACCCCAGAGAAAAGAAGAACACAACATCACATCTAGGGAGGGAATACAGGTACAAAACTCCAGAGAAGCAAGGTAATTTATGTTTATTTCTCTCTAGCATTCCAGAAAAAAATGACATTTTCCATTTTCCAGCAGTGTTTCAAAGTCTGATATTGTAAGTGTTATAAGACAGAAGGGAGTGATAAGAGTGTGCTTCTGCTGGCGCCATGGCTCACTAGGCTAATCCTCCGCCTTGCAGCGCCGGCACCCCCGGTTCTAGTCCCAGTCGGGGTGCCAGATTCTGTCCCAGTTGCCCCTCTTCCAGGTCAGCTCTCTGCTGTGGCCTGGGAGTGCAGTGGAGGATGGCCCAAGTGCTTGGGCCCTGCACCCCATGGGAGACCAAGATAAGCACCTGGCTCCTGCCATCAGATCAGCGCGGTGCGCAGATCGCAGCACGCCAGCCGTGGCGGCCATTGGAGGGTGAACCAATGGCAAAAAGAAGACCTTTCTCTCTGTCTCTCTCTCTCACTGTCCACTCTGCCTGTAAAAAAAAAAATGTGTTTCTTATAATCTTGCTGCCTGGGTTCTGCTGTGGGTCCTGACTTTGCGCAAATGACATTACCTGTGTCTCTGATTCCCCATCTATGGAGTGGGGATAGTAATAACATCTGTTCATCACATTGTTACATAGATGAAATGAAATCATACATGTAATATGGTTAAAGCCATGCCTGCCATAGAGTAGGTCCTCAATAAATGTTAACTGGCTACCTTGTTTGGATCATTCAAATCATTGCAGGAAGTTGTCAGCAGTCTATCTCTCATAAAATTCCAGACTGGGTTGCTCCCAAACTAATCACTGTTAAATTTTAAAGCCCAGGAAAATTTTTAATAAAAAATGTTTTCAAACCAATTGGTCAGTGGCTTTATTACAGAAAGCATGTTTAGTTCTGATTTAGCCAATAAAGTGAACACTTAGTAGGAAATGATATCAGACCATATGTAAATAGCCTATTGTCTGGAGCACATCACAAGTTGAAGAATATTGGAGACATTTATAAGATCAGGATGTTTTCAGTCTCTAAAATGAGACCACAAGCAATTTTCATACTGGGATAAATGCTCTCCTTTTGACACATGAAGCAGTTCATTTTACTTGAACTCTAACTTTTTCCTTTTTGTATATTTATTTTAGAAGCAATCTGTGCAATTAACTCAGAAGTATACACATACACACACACACACAATCTGTCCTTTAATGAAACATAGTAACTGTCATTGATTACTCACTTTAAAAATCATTTTTAAAAATACAGGAATATAAAATATTCTCTAATCATCTTAATGAAAATCATACTGGACACAAATCCATGCTGCCTTTTCTTTGTAAACCCATAATAGTACTGTATCGCTTCTAAGAGCCTTCTACTGACTCTCCCTCAGAAACAAGGATGGAAGGCTAACAATGCTGCAAAGGGTCTAGGAAAACATTCATGGAGAGAATGTTCCTAAGTCAGGGACAATTCAGGGAAAGAGAATAGAGAAGAATACCAAGATAGACTACTGAGGTCCAAATACCAGAGAGGAAAAAGCTAGTTTTAGTTAAGAGATGTGGTAGATCTAGGATTTTGTTCTCCTTGGAAGCAAAAAAATTAGCTTGCCACACTTTCTTGGATTCTAGTAAAAGACATGAGACTCCTGGGTCAGAGATAAAAGAAAATGTACTACTACCAGCATAACAGGTCTCCCACATGGGTGCAGGGGCCCAAGGACTTGGGCCATCTTCCACTGCTTTCCCAGGCCACAGTAGAGAGCTGGATCAGAAGTGGAGCAGCCGAGACTCAAACAGGCGCCCATATGGGATGCTGGCACTGTTGGTGTTGCTTCACCCACTACACCACAGTGCTGGCCCCAGAGACATTATCTTTCAAGTCTGTACAATACACACATATACAGAAACACTACAGTCCCATGAAGAATTGTCTTCCAGTATTTATCAATAAGTAAACTATTCCATGTTATGCCTTTTGAGAGCTCAGAATATATGTTTGTCCTACACCACTTCAGCCATATATTTCTTTTTTTTTTTTCATTTTTTTGACAGGCAGAGTGGACAGTGAGAGAGAGAGACAGAGAGAGAGAAAGGTCTTCCTTTGCCGTTGGTTCACCCTCCAACGGCCGCTGTGGCCGGCACACTGCGCTGATCTGATGGCAGGAGCCAGGTACTTCTCCTGGTCTCCCATGGGGTGCAGGGCCCAAGCACTTGGGCCATCCTCCACTGCGCTCCCAGGCCACAGCAGAGAGCTGGCCTGGAAGAGGGGCAACCGGGACAGAATCCGGCGCCCTGACCGGGACTAGAACCTGGTGTGCCAGTGCCGCAAGGCGGAGGATTAGCCTAGTGAGCTGGGGCGCTGGCCTTCAGCCATATATTTCTAAAAGTATGTCGTAGAACCCAGAGGCTAATATGAAAGTGTCAAAGTAAGGGAAGTATTCCTCAGTGTAGAGGGAAAAGGCTACACTACTACTGGTGAGAACAGGTGCTCTTTGTCCTATTAAAGAGGAAAAACACTATTATGGCAGATGTTTGTAAGGAAAATAGCTGAAAAACTATCTAGTAGATGGGCTTATCTTAGTAGACATTCATTAAATCAGTTAATAGAACCTATAATCACACTCTTTACAAAGAGAAAAATTCTGCAGTCTTTAACTTTAGTCAAAATCAAAATATTCTATTACAAGCTAATTTATTCTTCTTAAAATATTGATAGATATGACAAAAGAAATAGTTCCATGGTCAAAAGAAGTTAGAAAAATGCCAGGTTCAGCAAAGTTAAACAAGCGTTAATAATGCAGAGGTTCTCATAGCCTTAAGCACTCCAATAGGGATCTAATGTTCCTTATACAACTTGGATGGCAGATCCCATTTTTTTCAGGATATCTCAGGAGGTAGAGATCTACTGAAGCTGCTTGGAAATGCCTAGGGAGAGGAACTGCTCTTTTTTTTTAAATTTTTTGACAGGCAGAGTGGACAGTGAGAGAGAGAGAGACAGAGAAAGGTCTTCCTTTTTGCCGTTTGTTCACCCTCCAATGGCCGCCTCGGCTGGCGTGCTGCGATCAGCGCACTGCGCTGATCTGATGGCAGGAGCCAGGTGCTTCTCCTGGTCTCCCATGTGGGTGCAGGGCCCAAGCGCTTGGGCCATCCTCCACTGCACTCCCAGGCCACAGCAGAGAGCTGGCCTGGAAGAGGGGCAACCGGGACAGAATCCGGAGCGCCGACTGGAACTAGAACCTGGTGTGCCGGCGCCTCAAGTTGGAGGACTAGCCTGTTGAGCCACGGCGCCAGCCAGGAATTGCTCTTTATCACAGGCAGCAAATGGTGGAAAACAATGGTACTTTGGGAAGAAACTGGCTGATTGGCCTGCACTAGTCTAAACAGATTTCCTATTGATGGCTACTAGTAGCAATGGGTGCCTTCCTGCTTCCTGGATTAAATGCAGTGATTATATCCAATACTGATGGAAATGTAGGGAGAATACATATGAATCAATATAAGATCTTTGTGTAAAATTTTAGTACTGAATAAGCCATAAGAAATGATCCTCTGCCTAGCGGCGCCGGCACACCAGGTTCTAGTCCCGGTCGGGGCGCCGGATTCTGTCCCGGCTGCCCCTCTTCCAGGCCAGCTCTCTGCTGTGGCCTGGGAGTGCAGTGGAGGATGGCCCAAGTGCTTGGGCCCTGCACCACATGGAGACCAGAGGAAGCACCTGGCTCCTGCCTTCGGATCAGCGTGGTGCGCCGGCCGCAGCGCGCTGGCCGCGGCGGCCATTGGAGGGTGAACCAACGGCAAAAAAAGGAAGACCTTTCTCTCTGTCTCTCTGTCTCTCTCTCTGTCCACTGTCCACTCTGTCAAAAAAAAAAAAAAAGAATACTTCCCATCATCCAATTTCATTGAAGAATTTGAAGAATAGGTGATCTTAAAGCATAGACCATTACTCACTCAGCCTCCTATATTAGAAAAAAAAAGAAAGAAAAGAAATGATCCACCACAACTCCATTTTGAGATGAGGATACCAAGATATGAAAAGATTTGGTCCAAGTAAAAAGTTAGCCAATGAAAAGGCCACAGCTGAAATCCAGGTCTTATTAATACTAGTTTGTGTTCTTTGCAATGAAGGCAATGAAAAAGACCACTAATAATCACTACCACTGATACTGAGAAGACAAGCTTGAATCTCTCCCTGCTCATGCACCTGGAAGGCACTGGAAGCTGGCCCAGAACTTGGGACCCTGCACCCACATGGAAGACCAAGATGGAGTTTCTGTTTTCTGGATTCAGCTTGGCCCAGTTATGGCTGTTGGGCCATTTGATGAGCGAACCAGTGACTGGAAGATTGCTCTCTCAGTCTCTCCCTCTCTGTCACTCTGTCTTTTAAATAAATAATTTTTTTTTTTAAAAAAAGAAGAAGGTAATCCCAAAAAGACTCAAGAAAATGCATTAGGTGATAGATATGAATGATGGCTATAACAGGGAATGGTTGCAGCCTTTCCTAAATATACAAAGCACTGTCCATGATAATTCTCCAAGAGGCAGGCTTATGTGAGTAACAAGAAGCATCTTCAATTTCACTACCCTGGTAAGGTTTCCTGAGCCAGCGATCTTTGTACCTCAGAGAGAGGGCATTTTATGGTCAAAAGAAAGAAACAGTTCCTTGGGCATAAAATTAGGTGCTTTGTAAGGGCTGATGCCACCGAAATTTGAAGCAATTCAATATTAAGCTGTGATCTGAGAGATTCTATGGTACAGTAGTATTTGCCTGTGGCCATACCACCCTGAACGCACCTGATTTCATCTTGTCTATGGTACATTAGTATGCATAATATATGGTGTTAGAAAAATACTGAAAATTTTGAGTCCTGTGAGAAAAGGATTACCTTCCTTAGGAGATACGTAGGAATGTATTTTTTTTTAAATAAGTTCAAAATCATTTCAGAATGTTATAATGTCTTTAGAAGAAGGGATAGAGACAGTCATTTGCAGATTTAATTAATGCGTTTATACTTGTAAAGTTCTTAAAACAGTGGGTATAGTTGCTGAATAAATCATAAAGAACAGTGAGCAACTACTACCTAGTAGTGCAGTTCCAGCCGTGCTGCAGAAGTGCAAGAAAACCAAACAATTCCTGAGCATGGCAAGCTAACTTTTTAAACTTATATGTGGTATAGGAAAAAACTTGTGTTTCTTCTTTATGATTCACACCAACTCTTTTAGGCACCAAATACATGGAGTTTTAGCCACAATTCAATTTAATTTTCCAGCAGACACCAACTGTATGTCCTATAATTTGACTCCACTGTGAAACAATGTCTACCTGGAGACAGCATCAAATTTCACTGGCTAAGAGCCCAGTCCCACAAGTCTGTTCTGCTACCCCTCCCAACTTCAGACGCCAGTCACAAGCATTGGGCTTCCAGGAAACCATCGCTTCTGTGCCACTGGGGTACAAATCCTTTCTCAGATTGAATCATTTGCTAAAATGTCCCACAGAACTCAGTAAGAATGTTTACTTTCTAGATTACTGGTTTCTTGCAAAGAACATGTTAAAGGGTACAAATGGACAGACAGGCGAAGAGAGACAAGGGGCAAGATCCAGAAGGGTCTGAGTACATGGAGCTTGGCGGTGCACCACCCGACTAGCACAATGGTGTGTTCCTGTTTACCATTCGGGAGCTCTCCAGACCCCAGCTTTCTGGGTTTCTATGTACATGTCAGTACATGGGCAGGACTGATGAAATCATTGACATTGGTGATTATGTCCATCTGTAGTCCCTCTCCCCTCCTAGGAGATGCAGGTGGGGCTGAAAGTTCCAACCTCCCAATCCCTTGCTTGGGTCCTGGCAACCAGACTCCACCCACTTACCTAGGTGCTTTCCAAAAGTCACCTCCTTCACAGGTGCAGTTGAAAGGGGCTGGTGAGCAATAACAAAAGACTCTTCCTCCACCTGTATTGCTTTGGAGCTATTTCAGGAACTGAGAACAAAAATCCAAATATTATAACAAGAGATATTCCTATAGCTGTAATCACAGGAAATCACAAGAGTTTCAGGAGCTATGAGCCAGTAACTATGGGCTAAGACCTATATGTATTTCTTATAGCACAGCATAACTGCACATACCAACACACATATATGTGAAAGTTACTTATCATTGACCTATGTGAACAAAATCTAAGAATAAGGCATTCTGCCCAGACTACTTCATGTTGACTAAACCCAGAGACATAGACACTTTATGATCTTTCACTAAGAAGTTAGTTTTCATTCATAAAGTGCTTCTCAATAAGTTATAAAACCACTTCACAAAGGTACTTGAGGGATGTGTGTACACTGGAAAAGTGCAAATCAATGCAATTTCAAAAACTACTGAAAAATGTTATTAACCCTACTTGATGGGCTCAATTTAAAAACAAATTTTTCATTCATCCATAGAATTGAGTACAACTTAAGCATGTGAACTCTGAAAAAAGACTTGCCTAGGTCCAAATTGTAACTCTTCCATTTACTGGGCATGGGATCTTTGGCAAGCTACCTGAGTGTAATGGGCCTTCATCTGCCCCTCTGTCAATAGGAGAAAATAATGGTGCCAATTTAATGAACAGCTATGGTTGTTAAATGAAATGATGCACATACAACAGCTCACAATATGAACCTCGTGAGTGATTATTCATTATTATTATTTCCAAAGAAAACTTAACAAGTTAATGGGACCAAATACTTCTGTCTGGGGTGCAGGTGGGGGCAAAATATCTAAATTCTGATTTTAGGAGAATTTGATCCAAAGTTTTATAGTTTCCTGTTTTTAAGTCCTTGGTGCCACTGTCTCCTCTGGTACAAATTCAAGTGATCATGTCACCTCCCAAGAAACTTCCTGCTGGAAAAAAAATGTTTTCTAGGGAAGATTTTATTCTACCTATCTTAACTTTGTGCTGTTAGTTTTGTTTTAAACCTGAGAGGAAAGAGAGAGAATATGCAATGCTCCCACCTGCAGGTTCATTCCCCAAACGCCACAATGGCAAGGGGCCAGGGTGAAGCTGGGAGCTGGGAATACAATCCAGGTCTCCCTTACGGATAGCAGGAACCCAATTTCTTAAGCCGTCATCACTGCCTTCCCAAGTCTGCAGAAGTATGAAGCTGGAGTCAGGAACCAGAGCTGGGAATTGAACCAAGGCACTCCAATTCGGGATGCTGGGTCTTGACCATCAAGCTAAACACCTGCTCTCATTTTAGCATTTTCAATGGCATTACAGTCAAGGATTTCAAAACTGTTGTTAAAGGTGGATTTTATCTTGTAGCTATTAACTTGGAAAGTGCTAATGGTTGCAAAAGTGTTAACAGCTGAAACTTAAAACAACAATCTTTTCTGTTAATTGAGTTCCTTCCCACAAACCTCACCATGGTTTGGGGGAGCAGATGTGCACAGGGTGCACGGGGAATGCAGAGTAAAACCGTGCTGGTGGTTGGGTTTCAGAATTTAAATTTTTATTTTCATGATTACTAGGCAAGATCAACTGGCATTCAATACAAAACAAAACAAGAACAGCAGGTATGTCTTAAAGAACATTCCTAGGGGCCAGTGCTGTGGCACATTGGTCTAAAGCCCAGGCCTGCAGCACCAGCATCCCACACGAGTGCCGGATCAAGTCCTGGCTGCTCCACTTCTGATCCAGCTCTCTGCTATAGCCTGGAAAAGCAGTAGAAGATGGCCCAAGTCCTTGGGACCCTGCACCCACATGGGAGACCCGGAAGAAGCTCCTGGCTCCTGGCTTTGGATTGGGTTGGCTCTGGCCACTGTAGCCATTTGGGGAGTGAACTATGGATGAAAGACCTTTCTCTCTGTCTCTATCTCTACCTCTCTCTGTAACTCTGTCTTTTAAATAAATAAAATAAATCTTTAAAAAAGGATGATCCCAGCAGTTAAAGAACAAGGTTTATGCATACACATCTATATAATTCATAACTTTAATATAAATTCTCTATGAGCTAAAGGGCTCAGGTTTTAGAGCATGCACCATGAGTTATATTGAAAGTTAGAAGCAATACAAAAAATTGATTTGAATCTTGAAACACATTCTTTCAACATGTAATACCAGGTCCTGTGCTAGGTGCTGCTGATGGATGTAGAGGTGAATAAAGATACAGTCCCTGCCTGCACCGCAGAGGCTCGCAGACCTGGGAGCAACACAGACACGCAAAGAGGTAAATGATAGCATACAGCAGTGAGCGCTGAAATAGGGGCTCAACTAAGCAGTGGGGCACAAGGAAGGCAGAATTACACTTGTCTGCAACCTGCAGAAGCTTCCCAGAGAAAGGCCTTTTAAATTATACCTTCAAGAAATGATACAGTCGGGCCTGGGTTTCTTGTAGCTAACAACAAAACAACAATGTAACCTAATTATCATTTCCACACAACCTGCTAGGGGGATTGCAGACATTCTCTGCAAGTCTTGCTACAACCCGAGAGAGGAGCTATGTTCCAGTACACAGATGATGACACTGAAGTTCAAGGATTAAGAGGCTCAGTTTGCATAGCTCGTGATGCAGGGTTTGAGCCCAGATTTGTATCACTGCAACCCCCTTACTGTGGCCCTGCATTGCCCAGAAACACCTATTTTTGCCTCTTATTGCCAACCAGTACATGGTTAATTAACCATGTATCTATGTGGAGTCCGAATGTGGGAACTTACTCTGGAAGCCCAACAAAAAATATGAAATTCTAGCTTAAAAATCTGGGTAAAAGTGAAACGTCATAGTGGATTTTAGAGGAGTAACTCTCAAACTTCAATGTGCATATGAATCACCTCTGTACATACGTTAGAATTGTCCAGTTTCCTCTATAAAAAGGCAGGCGCTGAGTAACCAAAAGTTTTGCAATAAGCTGAGGGGAGACTCCACTTGCAGAGCATTCATATTCTGTATTTCCAAATTTTATCTCACTGTTTCTGTTTCTTTTACTTTCAAGGCAATAGCAGATATCATTTGAGTCCTTACAAAGTCTTTGGGAACAGCCCTTGGAGCTTTACACATGTTATCTAATTCTCACAGCACCCTGTAAAACTACCCCTATAATACTGGTGATGCAGGAAAAGTCGAAAGGAACAGGAATATTCCTACATTTAACCAGGAAAAGCAAAGCTTTATCCTGGTTCACCTGAGTCCGAAGTCCAGGGTTCCTGGGCATTGTGTAGCAAGGGAAGCATCTCAGGGATGCCTAAGCTTGTGGTGCCACTGGTCCAAAGGGGATAAGGTGCACTCAGAAAGCACTTGAGAATAAGGCCCTTGGAAGTTCGTGCCCATAGTACTTGCTGAGTGTCAGCTATTTGAGAGCTGGAGCTATCTCAGAGAATATTACTGCATCTACTGGATGTCTTACAAGGTACTTGAAATTTTCAGTAAATTGCTACAGGCAGCCTCTGCCTCTTTCCTTAGAGACTCTCCAGGAATTTTTCCATCTGCTGACTAGGAGGAAAGCTTCACCTTAGATTTTTGTCTTGATCTGGGTTAATGAAAACTGGTCTTAGAGTCATCTCCTAAGGCCTAAGAGGGTTTAAAGTTGTCAGCACCGTAATCAGGAAAAGTGTAGTATTTTAATGGGAGAGCAAGAGAAAAGTAATCAAAAAGCCCAAGAGAACAACCTCTGGACAAACTTCCTTTCCTTTTGGCTTGAGGGGAGAAATGAGGTGAAAGAGGTGAGTGCTTCCTGGAGGCTGCTGTGTGAGAGCAGACCGACCGGCCAAGGAGCACGGGTTGTCTTTCAGTTTCTCGGCTCGCTTGCATCGTCTTCCGCAGACTGCTACAGCAGAGGAACACTTCAGTTTTTAGTACCGCTAAGGCACTCCCACAAGACTCGTATTACTTAGCAATCTTGTCTGTACCTTTTTTCCCTGGGCAGAAGGTTTTCCGTACACAGAGCTGCCAAACTTTCAAGCCGCCAGTTTGCTTTTCCATCCTGACATTGGGCGAGGGAACCAGGAGACGGCGGGGCAGGGTTCTGAGCAGTACAGGCGAAAGGACCCCTCCCCCACACCCTAAGCAGCAGGTGGGTTGGGTGTCCACCGTCAACTCCGTTAGGCGGGACGCGAGACTGTAGGCGGAGCCTGCAAACTGAGCCTCGCTGGAACCTGCAGCTTTACACACCGAGCAGGGAGCCTGTCTGGCGGTCTCGGGGTGCAGATGGGGATTCCAGCCCGAGAGGAGGCTCGGCTGGCAGGCGGCTCAGGCGCTTCTTGGTCCAGGCACACTGGCTTTTGACCTGCTCCTTCTGCGTCTCGCTCAGTGCATCCCGGCCTCCCCTGCCCACTGTTCTTATGGGGGCCCTTGGATTCCTAGGCAGAGGGGCTATCACCATCCTGACCCGGGTCTTCCGAGGAGTTCCCAGAGGGCTATTTTTAGCGTTGGCTGCTCCCCTCTAACTCACCCAGGGGAGGAGCTGCGGTAACGGAGCAGGCGCTGCGCGCACAGAAGCCACGAGTTGTCCGCTCATTGTCAGGGATGAGTGGTGGAGGAGCTATCAGACACCGCCGGGCCGCGGACACAGCCCGCCAGGTGGGCGTCTCAGAGGCGGCCCCGGACCGGTGGCCGCCCGGCGCCAGGACTTCTTTCCTCGTCCTGAACAAAGCCCCCAGCGGCCGACGAGCAGCCCCGCTGGCCGGTCCCGGACGGCGCCGGGTGGTCTCCGCAGGGGAGGAAGTTCCCGGGCAGCGCGGCCTGCGTCACAGCGGGGCTGGCACGGCCGACTCCGCTCGCCGGGCGGTGGCGGCGACCCCGGGGCCGGGCGCTGGGCGGCGCTGGCTGCCGCTGGCCCGGCTGCGCGCGGGGCGGCGCTGGAGGCGCGGGGCGGCTCCGTCCGCGGCCGGGGAGGCGGAGGGGAGGAGGGCTGCGGGGCTGGGGCGTTAGCTGCGTCCCGGCTCGGAGCCCGCGAAGAGGACGAGGAGGGAGGCGCCGCCGTGGCCCCGGCCGCAGTGCTCCGGGCGCGCCAAGCCATGAGCAGCGGCCCTGCCGGCGACCCCGCCGTCGCTGGCCGCCGCTGAGCCCCAGCAGGAGCCAGCTCGCCGCCACCCAGCACCCTCTCCAGCCGGCACCCTCGCGCCCAGAGGTAAGGGCGGGAGCCAAGGAGGGATGGAGAGGGGCGGCCCGCAGCGGGCCAGCAGGCTCAGTCCGCTAGGCGCGCGGGGCCAGGACTCGCCCCGCCTCGGTCCCGTCGCTGCCTCCTCCCGGCTCCGGGACCGGCAGCGGACTGTGGTCTCCGGAGCCAGCGGCTGCTACGGCTCAGGAGCCTGCCTACCCCTACCCCACCCATGCCTCGCTCGCCCCGGCGTCCGCGCCAGGGACCCCAGGCTGGCGCGAAGCGCGGCGCGGCCGCGGCAGGTTCTGTGGACCGGGGCGGGGGGAGGGGGCACGCGGGCAGAAAGCGCGGCCACGGCCGGGGGCGAGCGCGGTCCTTGGCTGCCGAGAAAATCCCCGAGACCCCGGGGCCTGTCCTTTCTGGTCTCTTCTCCCCTCGCCGCCCCCCGAGCCACTTTTGCGAAGGCAAAGGAAGGAGAAGGTCTGGAATGAGCCCCACGGTTTGCTCACCTGCAGACCACAGAGACGGGTTTGCCCGGCGGGCGGGCCCTAGAAGCCAGGTGTCTAGGCCAGCGGTTGAGGCCATGACCGCTGCCTTCGTCCCAAACCGAGGCTGACCGATCATTCCGTTTTCCAGCTGGTTCCCGGCAACGGGCTGGTTGGGGATGGAATTGGCCTCTTTGGCACCTCGGAACGTGCCCTGTGGGCACGCGGATCTCTCTCGGCTCCCTCCCCCACCATGCTTGCCCGTATGAGTCCCGACAGTTCCTAATGAACCTTGCCAGGCACCTAGCTGTGCAGGAAGCAGGCACCTAGCCCACGTCCTAATGAGAATATTTCAGACCGCTGGGGCCAAACTTCTCGTGCTCTCAAATTTCTGGAGCATTGTAAACTTGTAGCAGCCCAGTTAGGAAACATTTTCAGGTTCCCATGCTCCTTGGAGTGAAAATTAAGACCCAATCCATCTTTGTGGGGCGCTGGCCTTTGCCAGAGGCAGGCTTCAAGGACCCTATTTAACGCCCTCTTTGTAGGGGAACGGGGAGAGGGATGGAGAATCACAGGTAAAGGGAGCAGCCGTCCTGGCTTGGTCACACACTTCCTACAGGACCGAGGCCGGGAGGCCCTGAGCATCCGTCCCATTTCCGGACGGTATGGGCTGGCTTCCGAAGAGTGTTGGACAGGGCCCTAAGATGCTGCGTGGACTAGACATGAGTGCAGTGTGCACAGCACTGCCAACCTGCCGGCGCCATCACCTCGATACATTTACACATGCCCTGCTTTTTTTTTTTTTTTTTTAACGATTTGTGGACAACTTGTAAACCCAAAAAGTAATCTGAACTTGACAAAAATTGTTTAGAATCGTCAACCCTGTTGGATGTGTGGACAAAGACCACAGATTAGATTCATACACTTCTAATCTATGATATCCAAATTTCTTGTGTAACTTTGACTTGCTTTGCTTTGGGGTGAGCAACTTAAATCCCCTCTTGGGGTTGATTTGTCTCCTTTGAGGGAAGGGGGGAGTAGTTTTGCAAGGGTGAATATTTTCTACCATTCGCACAATAGATTTGACCACAGATAGGTCCCACAACCCAGTGATGATATCAGAGGTAGCAAGCACATTTAACAAGTTTCATATTAGTAGAATTTTCAAAGCCTTTGTTAATAGTACCAGTGTCTTCTTTCTCAGATTGCATTTGCTCTTTATTTAATGAAATGTGTTTTTAAAGGGAATGCTTTTAGTGAGAAAAATGCATTAGGAGCTGTAAAGGAAATTATTACTTTTCCACTAATGAAATATATCTTTTATTGCTAATTATTTTTCTATATTTGAAAGATGGGGGCCGGTGGGAGGGAAGGGAGAAAGAGACACAAAGAGGGAGCACTTCCATCCACTGGCTCACTCACCAAATACCCACAACAGCCAGGGCTGAGTCAGGCTGAAGCCAGGAGCCCAGAACTCAATCTGGGTCACCCTGGTGAGTGGCAGGAATCCAAGTACTTGAGCCATCACCTGCTGCCATCCAAGGTGCACACTGGCAGGAAGCTGGAATCGGAAGCAGGATCAAGACTAGAATCTAGGCACTCTGATATGGGATGCTGGTATCCCAAGCTGTATGTTAACTGTTGCACCAACTCCTGTCCCATTTTTATATTTTGAAAGTATTTTGAAGTTGAAAACATTTCTACTCCAAAGGTCCAATTTTTACCAAATTTCGTATGATTTTTAACAGTCTGTAGTAGTAGTATTTTAATATCATTGTTACCTGTAGCCCAAGTCTAAAATGAAATGCTTAGCCTAGTGGTTAAGACACTGCATTCCATATCAAAATATCTGGGTTTTGCATGCAATACCTGGCTCTAACTCTTCACTCTCTCTTCCTGCAGACCCTGGGAGACAGCAGTGATGGCTCAATTGTTTGGGTTCCTGTCACTCATAGGGGAGACCTGCTTTGTGTTGCTGCCTCCTAGTTTTGTTCTTGTCCCACACCAGTCCATTCAGTTGTAGGCATTTGGGGAATAAACTGGCAGATGAGTGCTCGCTTGCTTGCTCTCTTTCTCTCTCTCCTTCAAATAAATAAAGTACGTAACTAAGTAAGCTTTTAAAACTTAATGAAATGAGGTAGGAACTATATTTGTTTTGCCAAGCATCATGTTAATGATTTGGTCTGGCATGTTGCTGTAATATGGTTTAGCTGCTCCAGGTCCCTAACACATTATCTGAGATTCTTACTACAAATCCCTAAGGTGGATGGTGCCAAACATATTTTACAAAAGAAGAAAGAAGCTCAGTGTTTGTGACTTGTGGAAGACCATCAACAACACTAGTAGCTGAATGAGACGCCTCCTCATTCTTACCGGCATACTTTTTACCATTATCCACAGATTTTTTCACCTACACACATTTATTGTTGACTTACCGTAATGACTGACTGGCATCAAAGTCTGCCTGTACTATCCAGTAGAAGTTCAAGTGAGCTCACATTATGGAGCTTCCCTGAGTCCCAGTTTCCTCGTATGTAACGAGGTTAATAAAGCCTGCCTGGGGGATCTTTTTGCGCAGCTCCTGACGCCTGCTGAGGGCTGAGTAAGGACTGATACCACTGTGTGCCAGCAGTGCTTGAGATTTCTGCTGTGTTTCACTTTATGCATACTTTACAGGCACCCAGTGATTAGTCAGTGCCTTCACTGATTCATTCCTCATACAGGAATCCAAAGGACTAATCCAGTTTTTAGCATCTTTATCTTTTTGAAGTCTTGACTTGGAAACATGTACTCACCTTTTGTAGTTTTGCCTATCCCCTTCTCTGCATAATTCTTGGAACAAACTAACTAGAAGTATTTCAATGGATTGGAATTTGTATTTTTGGCTAACACACTTTCCTGTTTTCTGCCTCTCTTGATCACTCAGTCTTGCTTATCACACAGGACACCATGATAATACTGTTATCTCCCCACCACATTCCTTTCTCTTGATCAAGCTCCTACCAGCTGAAATTCTGTATCTCCTTCAAGGCCTAGCCTAAATGCCATTTCCTTCCTGAGTCCATATGCCCCCCTCTAAATCCTTTGTCAGTTCATTTATAACTTAGACAACATGTACATCCACTGCTTTAACATATTTTATTTTTGTGGTCTTCTCATAATATACTATGAAAGCTGTAAATATTTTTCTATTTCTTGATATTCTTTGCTTTGGATAACACGTACATGATTCTGTTTCATGAATGAAAGACAAGTCAGATACTCTGAAAGATGTTCTTAAAATAATTAGGAAAGACACCCATGTTATTTGTCTCTATTACATGATTGTTACTGGCACCTTCTTTATTATTTTGAGACTTGTTCATTCTAACCTTCCCTGCCAGTTTAGCTTGCATGAAATTTACTGAGAGACCGTAATTCTTAAAGCTTTGGCCATTAGCACCATGTAAGGCAGCCATGTCTCATTAATAAATTGTTCCAGTGGTGATATAATAACTTCAGTAACTTGCAAATATATTGAGCACATCAGCAGTATTTGGCATTTTAGATGAAGTGATAGTCCAAATGGATTTTTTTTAACTAGGAAGAGACTTTATTTGAGAAGGAAGATGTCTCTCAGAGAGGTTGAGTTCAGGAGCAAAAAATTTCAAAGCCCCTTGTTAGGAGCTAGGACTAATCATGGCACAGTGGGAGGCTGCAATGAAAAGTGAAAATGAAAAGCGCAAGTGAAAGTCCCCGGCAGTGTTACCGCAAATAGGAGGAGTAGGAAAAAACAAAAATGAAGCAGCAAAAGAAATGAAGCATGACTGTTACAATGTGTGATTGAAGCCAGCTAGATATTCGTCACTAATGGCCTGTAGAAATAGGAACTCAACTGTGGGGTCAAAATATTCGACAAGAGTGAAAGGAATGTGAACTTGAACATCTTAAGATATCACTGTACTTCCATCTACTCCCAGAGCCTAGCACAGAAAGACAAGAGGGTAATGCGATAGTAGTCATAATTTCCTTATCATAAAAAGATAGAGAACTACTAAACTCTTTCCTAAAATCAGACATGAAACAGATAACCCCCGAGACTATGTACCTAGAGGTGTAACACGTTGTCACAAGTCTTAGGAATAAATAAATGTAAGGATCATTTTCTGGTGTTGAATGGACGTTCTTTAAACATGTATTTCTCTAGTCAATGGTGTATCTAATTGAGTAGAGAAATGGTGATAAGGAATCCAAAAATGAGGATTCATAAAAGAAAAGGAAGAACTGACAAATTCAAAAATCAATTATTTTTATTTTTATTTATTTTTTTATATTTATTTATTTATTTATTTATTTATTTATTTATTTATTTTGACAGGCAGAGTGGACAGTGAGAGAGAGAGACAGAGAGAAAGGTCTTCCTTTGCCGTTGGTTCACCCTTCAATGGCCACCGCGGCCGGCACGCTGCGGCCGGCGCACCGCGCTGATCCGATGGCAGGAGCCAGGAGCCAGGTGCTTTTCCTGGTCTCCCATGGGGTGCAGGGCCCAAGCACCTGGGCCATCCTCCACTGCACTCCCTGGCCACAGCAGAGAGCTGGCCTGGAAGAGGGGCAACCGGGACAGAATCCGGCGCCCCGACCGGGAGTAGAACGCGGTGTGCCGACGCCGCTAGGCGGAGGATTAGCCTAGTGAGCCGTGGCGCCGGCCTCAAAAATCAATTTTAAGAAAAACATTTTAAAGCTTAGGGCAACAATGAAAGCCTTCCAGATGCCTAAAATGTTTTGAGTTGAAGGAATTCAGGAGAACTATAGATTCTTTAGAGAATCTTTGCAAGGACCCAAAAGAGCAAAAGCTGCCATACCAGAGTAAATTTGAAGGCAGAGCAAGAAGGAAAGTTAGTTTGGCTAAATCAAAAGACAGCCCAAGGCATTGAAGCACTAGAGAAGACAAAATGAGGCTCCTAGAGGAATGCTTCTCCAACCTTGGTTCATTAACACCCTCAGTCTGCAAGCTGATAAGTTGTAATACCACAGACACTTGGTCTGTCTGTTTATGAACTACTGCCAGTTGGCAGGCAATTATTCAAACCATAGATTCAAGGTTGTTTTTACCCCAGCTTCCCAATTTTCGCTAGGGGCAAGATTGTCTCCCTATTAGAAACACAGTGTGGGCCGGTGCCATGGTTCAATAGGATAATCCTCCGCCGTGCGGCGCCAGAACACCGGGTTCTAGTCCCAGTCGGGGCGCGGATTCTGTCCCGGTTGCCCCTCTTCCAGGCCAGCTCTCTGCTGTGGCCAGGGAGTGCAGTGGAGGATGGCCCAAGTGCTTGGGCCCTGCACCCACATGGGAGACCAGGAAAAGCACCTGGCTCCTGCCATCGGATCAGCGCGGTGCACCGGCCGC